CGTTTCGCAAAATGCCTGTGTTCTCCACCGAAGTTCGTAACTAAAACCGTAGTCTGGCCAATTTGGAGTTGAACGAGACTTCGAGCAATGGCCACTTCCCGATCAAGCAATAACGTCAGGTTACTTTCGGCGATGCCCGTAATCGACTGCTCCTGTGGACACTCAACAAGCACGAAGATACTACTGCGAGGTTGCAACTTGACGCAATCATCGACTACGCGTAAGGCCACGCCACGATGTTTATTCTCGATGTCAGAATCTGGAGAAACACAGTTAACAAAACTGACGAATAAATCGCGCAGATTAATTATCGCTTCATACTCTTGCAGAAAATCCATGCCCAAAATGACCGGCCGAGAACAATTGGGCAGTACAAGGAATGATGCTACAAAAGCCGATGCACAAATCTCAAGCCTGGTGGTGCACCTTCCTATAGGGGATACGAGGTATCCTCCAGCGGTGATTAGTTAAGGGCCGTCCCACGTTGTCAGCACCTTGTGTAGACGGGTGGCCAATGAAGCACTCATCACCGAGGAATCAGCTCTCGTGTCGACAAGCGCAGTCACCGGATAACAGTCGACGGAAACGGTAATGGCAGCGGACGTTCTCTTGGTGGTTTCACAAACAGGCTTTAACGGCACGTCGTAAGGGAGCGGCGGAGGGTATTTGTCGGTTCGCGTGACAGCGGCCTCACCTCCGGAGGTCGCCGTTTTCAGTTTCCCCGGCGTGGGCTTGCGCCACTGACACAAGGGGACCCAAAGGCGGGTCGGGCGCGGTGCGTTGATGTGAACGGACGGGGTGATGGTGACCGTGACTGTCGTCGCGGGGGGACAGGAGCGTGATGACTACCTTCAAAGTAATCCGCAATTCCTTGTGGGCGCTCACCATAGCGTGGACAACGCGCATCTGGGTGGAATCTGCGTAGGCATATTCGTCGGTAGTAACAGTCGCGGTACATGGGTCCAACTTCGCCACAATGATAGCACAAAGGACGATTGTCGGGTGCACGCCAGACGGTGGACTTCCGCGGGCCAGGACGAAAATCTGCCTGAGAAGGCAGGCGATGGGCTGGACTTGGAAAGCGTCTGGGGGTCCCAGTAGGTTGATGAGCAAAATGTGCCGCCGACGGCGTAGAGGTGCGTAGGGCATCCACGTAAGAGAGCGTGGGAGGTTCGACTTGCGATGGTGGTGAGGAGTGAACGAACTGCCTGATTTCGTTACGAACGACGTCCGTAAGAGCAGCGCTACTGGGAGGGGGCGCAGCATAAAATTTCCGAAGTTCTTCGCGTACAACTTGCCGTATGAATTCTGTGAGGACCTCCCTGTTATCACCTCCTGGTACAAGCGAGCACGCAGCGGACATAGCCGTCTGACGCTCATACTGCGACACCCGCTGCCGTAGCATGCGCTCCATAATTGTGGCCTCACGTATGAACTCGGACACAGTCGTAGGAGGGTTGCGCACAAGGCCCGCGAAAAGTTGCTCCTTCACGCCTCGCATTAGCAGGCGCACTTTCTTGTCTTCTGGCATGTGGGGGTCAGCCCGTCGAAACAATCGCGACATTTCTTCGACAAACATGGCGACGCTCTCATTCAGCATTTGAAATCGCGAAGAAAGTGCCTGCTCCGCTCTTTCTTTCCGTTCGGGGTTACTGAACGCCTCGCGAAGCTGCCGATGGAATTCCTGCCAACTTGTGAATTAAGTTTCATGGTTCTCATACCACACTCTTGCCGCATCTAAGAAGGAGATATACACGTTCTTCAACTTACGGCAATTGTCCCAGTTATTGATGGCAGCGACCCGGTCGAAATGGTCAAGCCAGTCTTCGACATCTTCATTGGCATCACCATGGAATGGATTGGGTGTGCGAGGCGTGTTGATGACACAGGGTACGCTAGCGAGTGGTTCATGCTCGGTGTGGGTTGCGGATGCGGCAAACATTGTCCTCGCGGAACTTGCCAAGGGGCCGTACTGTGGTGGTAGTCCTTGAAGGCGGCGGCTGCTTCGATAGATGTCGGCAGGCCCTGGTGCACTGGCGGTGGTTGCTTCTGGTTGAGGACCAGCAGGCATAAGACGTTGCAGTACAGTACCCAGCACGTCCACCAGTCTGTCGCGAGAGGAAACGATAGGCAGGAACTCGAAGTGGAATGCTGTTTACTCAGCCACAGCTGCCATTCACTTCTTCGCTCTCGTCTTCTGCCACCAACACAGCGTGGCAATATATATATATATATATATATATATATATATATATATATATATATATATATATATATATATATATATATATATATATATATATATATATATATATATATATATATGCCATATATATATATGTGCCATATATATATATAAATATATATATATATATATATATATATATATTTATATATATATATATATTTATATATATATATATATATATATATATATATATATATATATATATATATATATATATATATATATATATATATATATATATATGGGCAAGAAGTAAATACCTAAGGGCTCGTTTTTCCATGTTTTAACACAATCTTAATGAGATCTAACAGACAGTAATGCCAAGGAATGTACAAGGGAAGTTATTAGAACCAATGGAATGTAAATAAGAAGAAAGAAAAGTGGATGAAAAAATAATAGCCAGCCGTGAGCAGGAACCGAACCTACGACCTTCGAATAACGCGTTCGATGCTCTAACCACTGAGATACCACAGCGGCCTACCATGTCGACCATTAGTTAGCGGACAGTCTGCGCCTTCATCTGTTTTAATTGGTTCTGACGCATGCACCACGCTAGCATAGCCTTTGAAATTCGTTTCTGATATTTACGCGGGGCGATTTCTAGTTCACTAGTGGTGTCAGAAATAAAGCCCACAATTTGCTGTCTACTAATCGTATATATGATTTAATAAGTCATGCTTTTGTTGTGTGGTAGTGGAGAGGCTTGTCATGATTTCAAAAGCCACCAGTACGTGAGACACGTGTAAATATAGTATGTCTATGCGTGTATGGGGCCAGATTTTAGCACTGTTGTGCACAGAATTTCGCTGGGAATATTGTTAACGTTTACAGGGAAAAATCTCCGAAATAGGGAATTTCCATGTCTCTGTATGGGAATTCTTCCGCGTAGTACGAAACATCACTGTTCGAGTGTTCTAGCACCCACACGTTTCATTTCATCTTCTGTACACCATACTAACCAATTTAATGCCCTAAGTATTCTGCCCATCAGATCTTGTCTGAATAATTTTCCTTCATTTTTCCATGAAACGGAGAATTATTGAATGAGATTCATGGGCCCTTCGCAGACTGCGCAGGGCAATTTGAAAAAAGAAATCGTAAACATATATTTTGTTAAATTGTCTCTTTCAAGGTGCTGAACATGTGTATTTACACCTGTTATAACTCAAAAACAGACAGCCGTGTTTGTAAATAAATAACATTGAGATATTACCGCTGCGTAAACCGCTTTGCTCTTTCAGAGAAACCGGTTTTTCGTTCCGAAATTAACAGCACAAACTGCTCACGCCACCAAATCTCCTATATAAGCGATCCCCCCTCCCACCAACCATACCAGCCACGCCGCCACCGATCTGACGAATTCCGCGCCCCTGAAGCCCGTGCCATAGAAGCCCACGCCGATAACGCGCCGTCCACACTAGCCGTGATGCACTAATTTGTGGCCCCATGAAAAAGATCCTGCCGACGCCCGTGGGCTAGTAAGCTTTTTTTTTTTCATCTTCCTAAAAAGTTGAAGACTTCATTGTCATAGCATGCTTCGAGAAATAATGATAATAAAACCTCTTCATTATCATCCCAACTAGTTTTTTTTTTCAATTGAACATAAGTAGCCACGAATGAGGAAATGCTGACAAGCACATTATTGATTCAAACAGGAAATACTCAAGGGGTAAAAGGGCCGTAAAAAATATATTTATGAAAATGCCCCGGCCTCAACTTGTTGAATGACCCGCGCAGTAAATATCCTAACAATACACCACGGTGCGATATTACTCTAAAAGCTGGCACCACAGGTTGGCCGACGAGAATGCGAATCTGTATTTGCTTTTCTCTCTACTTCTAATATAGAGCGACTGCAGGTGGATGCAATTTTGACGCGACAGTGTTAAGAACCTTGTTTCGCAGAAATTAAGGCGTTGGTACCGGCTTCCGGGTCGGCATCGTTGGTTGTGAGCGAAAAATCGCCATCATGTGCGTGACTGAGAAATACAGAGCGACGGCAGGCGGACGCAATTAACCGGTTGCCATCGTTTACACGCGTGAAGAACACGTACCGGTCCACGCAGGGAGACATTGGTATGCGCTTCATTATGAGACAGTTGCTACATGTCAGGCTGCTTGTACTCAGCAGAGTGGCGCAGTGGAAGCGTGCTGGGCCCATAACCCAGAGGTCCGTGGATTGAAACCACGCTCTGCTAGCTTTTTTATTTTTGTTTTTATGAAATCGCTCCTACCGCGAATCTCTTACATATATGTTGTGCAAGGCATTATTCATGAACGCATCGACAGTAGCCCTCCCGCTCTCTCCGCCTACGTTTTGCCGTGGTAATATGTGAGGCTCCAACGAAGAATGGTAAAGCGCCTCGATAACTCTGTAGAATAGCACAAGTTTAGTAATTAAGCTATGCTAATGAAGCAAAGCAACACCTTGATATACGTCTTTTTTTAGACAACACATTATATTTATAAATAATATTTAACATTAAGACTTCAGTCATAATCCCACATTTTCTTTTTAAGTTACAGCGACTTCAAAGATGACCATTTTGTCGAGCCACATGACCGGTATGCTTTCCCATTGTCCACAAAAATATGCAGGGAACCGCACTCCAAGAGAACTGCATAAAATGCAACACTTCGCTGTATAACGCTGCCAGCATAATAATACATGTAATTAGTTACGTTGCTAATCAGCCACTGAGTCAGCCATACAGCTCAATGAAAAGATTTTTACCTGAAGAAAAAACTTTTGCGCAGCCGACAGGATTCGAACCTGTGCGGGAAGACCCAAATGAATTTCTAGTCCATCCCCTTAACCACTCGGCCACGGTTGCACACTTTTTTATTGCTTGGCATGGACAATATAAAGAGCAATCATTGCACACTCACACTTTACAATAAAAAGTAACAAGTATTGCCATCAGTTCCATTTGGACTTATTTTGTCCCCTTTAAAATATTTAAGGGTTGCTAGAGGAGTACACCAAGACAACCATTCTGGTACAAACTCCTATATTTTGCTTCACTCAATGAATGCCGACATGCCTTGCCTGAAATAAAATACTGCTAGCTTTGCATCCCGGCCGAAGTGACGTCCAGCCATTCGTGCTCGCCATGTACGGTGGAGAACGGTCAACATGATTACATAAAATGGAACAATGAACCCTATCATCATTCCTTACTGCGAGGTACTTTATCCCATGTGGCTCCACTGGAAAATCTTTTTTTGTCCTCTGCAAAATGTCCCAAAAATGTACCCCTTCCCAACAATGCAAAAAACATGGACGTTATGTTGGTCTTGTTGGTACATAATAGGCTGAAACACGTGGCGCAAGGTTGACAAAGAGAAAAAAAGAGACGAGACAGAAAGAGCGCCTTTGTCATCCTTGCGCCACGTATTTCAGCCAAAAACATGGTTTATTGTTTCAGGTTTCTTACATATCAAGCAGTGTGACCCCCATGGTGTTAAAAAGCCCCGTTTTTCTGTAAATGTCTTTACTGACAGCGTTGCTGTGTGTAACTTAAAGGAAATGTTTTCACCCCTGCAAGTACCTGCATGTTTTTTACCCGCTTCAGATCATTCTGTCCCGGTCTTGCTTGGTATATGACCCCGTACAATTATAGTGGCAAAATCATACCACATACATCTCTGTGCAATTCTTTTCTTCTAACGCTTGCTAGATAGTCCAACGAAAAACGAACAGATAGAAAACGCATACTACCTAGAGCTTTTTGAGATAGCCACGCAACGTCGCCGGCATGCTATTATCAGTGGTGACGACGAGGTCAAGTAAAACGTGGCTTAACCTGATTTGGCGCAGTACCGTACGCCGAAAGAAATCACGGACGGCAGGAAAGAACAAGAATATGCTTACTACCTGTCTTACAAACAGGTGTGCTAAACCGAGACCCCCGTCCTTCACGCGCCTGAACGAATTCATCCGACTGCACCTTTCCCTTTCCGAGCCCCATATAAAGACCGCGAACACTCTGTTCAGCCTTTGTACATTTAGCCTTGGACATTGTAGCACCTGCATTAGGTAGCACATTTTAGCGATTAAAAACATGTGGCTAAACAGTAGCCCTAGCAGAAACAGACAGGTTCGTACCTTTCCACCTTTCTGCTTTTTCTTTTCTCTCTTTTGTTTGACGCGACCAATACTCCTCGCTGCCGTTATAACATTCAAGGGGAACACCGAGGTATCCTGTCGGTGTTTCCATCCAGTGCACATTCACATAAAAAGAGCGGCTTTCAAGGCCACCTTCCGTGTTAAAGCCCAAGAGATTTTGTCCAGTTTACGCAGCTTCCTGTAACGCTACAAAAATGTTTGACAACACTTTTCGCTTCTGCTAGACTTCCTCTGCTCGAACAACACATCACGATGTCTTCTACATAAGCCTGCAGGTTAACTTCCACTGCCACCAAATACCTGCGTATTTTATTGCTTTCTTTTATCGACAAGCACATTGTTTCGAAGTAAATACAAAACAAAAGTGGACTGAGGGGGCAGCCCTGACCCACAGAACGCATTACGTGAATGAGGGCCCACAAATACGTATTCACAATTAACGTGTTGTGCAGTTCTGGTATGCCAAGGTCACTCCTTCTCTGATGATGGAACCAACATTATTATGATCTAATATGACAAACAAAATATCACGCGAAACACAATCGAAAGCTTTCTCCAGGTCTATCTGGATCCCCACAACGCCAAGTAACTCTTCATCACAACTCTCTAGCACGTGCAGCATCTTGTGAATGTTCCAGCTAATCGTTCTGGCTTTTGTTCCATAAGACTGGTGCTTGCCAGATAGAGAGAAGTAAACGTTCATTTTTGAAACAGTGTCCCTAGCAATGACCGGTGTCACCCTGAGGTGGAAGGGCTCCGTAGTCCTGGGACCTTCTGGCTTCTACTGCCCTCCTGGCCCTGGCGACGAGTTGTTGGTCTTCCGGGTCCTCGAGGGCGAGTTTCGCTTCCCACGTTTCGGTTAGGTCTTCGTTCGTTCGTCCTGCTTCATTATCAGTCGAGTGTTGTTGCAGATTACGTCTGGGAATACATTGGCATACAAGAAGAAAGTGTGCCAGGGTGTCCGGTACGCTGCAGAGCGGGCGCATGAGCTATATCTCGTTGAGCAGAGACGTTGCATTAGGGCCCCATGTGTGTATGTGCTGCTTTGCAGGCGTCTCAGTATCACGCTTTCCTTTTTTGTCAGTTTTGGGCGTGGTGGAGGGTATACTCGTCACTCCAGCCTGTAATGCTGGAGTGACGACGAGTAAGTGTTTTTCCGTCTCTTCAACGACGGGTCGAATGTCCTGTGGGCAGGAGGCAGCCCTTCTGACGTGCTCGCGGGCAGCGGTGTGGGCCGGTTTATTTTTCTGCAGATTCTCGTGTCCTGGCACCCATAATATACAAGTGTATGAGAGTGGAGTGCTTCGCCGTTTCAAAATATTGATGGCATTGGCTGAGATACGGCCCTTCGAGCGAAATTCCTGCAGGCGGCTTGCAAGTGGGTGAAAATTACCGCGGCGTCTGTACATGTTGAGGTTGCTAGAGCGATTGTCGGTTCTTCTGCTGCGTCTGAATTAAGTGCGTTGACCGTGGCCGACGCCGATTCTCGGCCTTGAGAATCTACGGCGCTGACGACGTACGCGCTTCTATGCGAATACTTGGCCGCGTCAGTGTAGCGGGCGTCCGGGTCTTGCTTGAACTTGCGTTGAATAGCGTCAGCTCTAGCCTTGCGCCTACTTTTGTGGAAAGTAGGATGCATGTTGCGTTGAATAGGTGTGATGGACAGCAACTCTCTAACGTACAGCGAGATGCGCTTTTTCGGTCGGCATCGGCGATGAACGTGTCGCTGTAGTTGAGGTACCGGAGCACCAACCTCCCCGTGGGCTTCAGCTGGCTGTTCTTATGCGCTTCGATGATCTCTTGCCACGTGTTGTGGACGCTCATATTTAGGAGACGTGTGGTAGAGGCCATTAAGGGAAGTCCCAGGGCTACTTTAGTGGCCTTTTTTATCATGATATTAAGTTTTTCAACCCAGAAATTATTTTATTGACACCTTGGAGTCGTTCTGCTAGAACCTTCATAAAAATACCGGTACCGGGTCCCGCTCAATGGGCTGGGAGCCCTCCAGGCAGAGCAAGCTTCACCACTGGGGCGACGCGTCACAGCCCCTGGAAGCACGTCTGTACCCTGTTTAGCAACCGGTGGGTGCCCGGCCGGCACTGGGGATCGACCCCGGCACCTCCTGTGTCTGAAACGGACACGTATGTGCAGTGCCACTGCTACGGTTTCATAAAATATTGTAGTCAAAATTGGTCAGCGATATGGGCCTATATGATGTCGCCAGTTTAAGCTTTTCTACTTTGTCTGTTTTAGGAATTAATATCACATGCGCTTTGTTGAAGGAAGGTGGCAGAGGTTTCTGTTCGAATGCCTCATTGAACAGCTCAGCTAACACTGCGGAGAGTTCTGATTTAAACGTCTTATACCACGCCGCAGTTAGGCCATCGGGTCCCGGAGACTTTCCGGTGTTCATATGACCAATTGCGCGTTCCACTTCCCCTTGCGTTATTATGCCTTCTGAAAGATTTTTTCCTATCGTCGCTAAGCCGCGGCATACGCTCAAGAGACTGCTCTTTAAAACCAAGTACATTCGCTTTTCGAAATAAAAACAGTGATTGATAATAAGCAGAAAAGGCCCGTCCAATGGTTCTATTGTTGCTCACGAACTTTCCATTGAAATAAACTCTGTCGACGTTGTTTCGACATCCTTGTGCTTTTTCGAGACCCAACGCCCTTTTAAAAGACGTCTCCCCCGCGACAAGATTATTTGCTCGAGCGCGAAATCCAGGCACCTTGATAACGCTCTCTGTCATACTGTTCTAATTATTCTTTCACATTGCGCACCTCATCCTCAGAGGTCCCAGGCTCTTTGCTTTCGAGAGCTATCAGCTGATGCAGTGTTTTCTTCAGACTATTCTTTTTATTTGCGCTTTGAACATGAACCCACTCGATCTGTCCAGCGCTTTCATTTTCACCTTCTGCTTTAAACATTCCCATATTTTTGATATATTTTCCTTTTTTTCCAGGAGCACTGCAATAATGGTCTCGTTCACTGCTTCCAAAAATGATTCATTCCTTAATAACATTTCGTTCTGTTTCCATAAATCCCAATTAAAGGCCTTACACTGTTTTTTTTTCATGCCTGTGCATGACATAACCAAACAATGATCCCAGAAGGGCACTGTCTCAAACGAAAATTAGTGACACATAGGCTAAAAATCAAGGGACAGGTATATGCGGTCTACACGTGCATTGATATTGCCTTGTAATCGTCTGTACATCGCTTCTCGATCTGCTACGACCCATTCATACACATAATTCAAGTCATTTTTGTTAATTACTTTGTCTAGCACATGAATGCTTTTCGCACGAACGCCTGTGTTGTTGGCTCTAACGTGAGCACTTAAAACACAGTTGAAACCTCCTAAAAAACCCTCTTATTACAATTTAACACTGAAACAGGTCAGAAAAAACCAAGCACGCTTCTACACAATTCGGCGCCTATATGCATATTACTCTGAATTGAGTGGCACAATAAACAAAGTCGCAATAAACAGTTTTGCCTGATTGGCATAAAAATACACTTTCACAATAAGGTCTTGCCATTTTTTCGCAAAACGAACAAACACAACGCGTAGACGTTCCTATCACATGGCTAACGACCGCATAATATCGGTCAGTGAAATGGCGCACCATGCTCCCGGTCTGCTCTTCTCCATCTACCTTGGTTTCCTGAGTGACTAGGATGTCTATATCTCTGTCTGT